ACACCCATTTCAGAAGAACTCTGCTAGCTCTTGATATTCCGTACTCGAATTTAAGAGAAGGTTTCTCATGAAAAGTTGAAATCTGAAAATCCAACCCACTCTGAAACAGTCGGTTATTTTGGGTTTATACAGTTCAAGCACTCCCCCAGCCCGCATGAACGTGAAAAATGCAGAGCAATTGCAAGAATTGCAGATCTTCAGAGTAAGTAATGAAGGCTTATGTGGCCTTCATAAGGGGCCGTTCTGGCACCTTTCTAGTTGCCCTTCTCCTCCAACTGAAAAGGAAACTTACTGGCGCGCGTTCGAACACTGAATGACCAACAGCTGCGTAGCTAACATGTGATCAAGTTATATCACTCTGACGGTACCCGCGAAAGCACCGAGTTTTCCTGCTTAAGTTCTTGGTGTTCCCTTGTCAATTAATCCGATACTACTGAAGTAATATTTGAATTCTGTGAAAGTATAGACGAACAAACAAAAGTATAAATAAACAATCAATACATTTTGACTTAATGAATGCTTTATGTCACAGAATAGCTTACAAGCGTAGTGGAACATGGACCGAGGTCACAGGGATTATTGATTTGAACAACCTCCGAGACGTGAAGTTTGGACCTCAGCCAAAGAATCCCCCATACCCTCCCACTCCGAAGGGTCCAAGTGGTTGCACAAATGGGCCACCGAATCCACCTGGCATAAAGGGCCCATACGGCGCGCCACCATAAGGTCCATAGGGATATCCTGGTACAACTCCAGGATACCTCGGGAAACATTTCAACGGCGTACAGATAACATTTCCCTGTTCACTGGTTACAGTAGAGCTAGGTTCAGATGGTGCTTCAGTTTGCGCTTCAACGGTTTCCTCATCAAGTTTCTTCACGCAGCTCTGTAGTGACGTCCAAAGCAGGTTCCGAGGGCGCCTCTTCGTCTGTCGTCTCGCGTTTCTGAAATATTGTTCAATTTTTCTTGAAAACATCAACATAACTATGCCAGGTGTCTGCCTTTCCCACATTCAAGTCAAACTAGTCGCTAATAATTGGAGCTGCTTAGGAGCACAGCATTCTTTTCTGCTAGACGTATCGATTTCGTACGCCTTGTATATTTGTTGTTGCCACTTACCTCGAGATATTTTTCATGACTTACCGTTCTGGGGAACGCGGCTACCGATGTCGTGATCAACAGAAGGATACCGAGATGCATCTGAAACTGCTGCCGATGGTTGTATGGCTCTTATCGTTAATGTATCAAGCCTTTTCATTAGAATTGCGACTGGAAAGTACTCGTGGCGATATTTCTATGATTATTCCAGAGATATTTTGAGAGATTCTAAAGAAGAACAGGAGAAAAGTGAATGCTTACAAGTCGAGATACCGTATTCAGGTAGTCCGTGACCAGTTCTTATAGCACACATAGCGGCGTTCCGTTTTTAAAACCAATTCCTTGTTGGGAGGGCAATATGTCGCATCTCTTCCAGTCCTGTTTAGCCAGCCGGATTAATTTACCCTGCAAGCCATGTCGTCAATACATTTCTCATTTAAGTAAACGCTGCTTCATATATGTAATTAGTGACTCTGTGCAGGAAAGTTTTTTTCTGAATAAATGTTTATTACGTCTGACATTTGGACATTTGCAAAAATTTGCTCCTTTTTTGAGACCCGATCGTTTTGTAGCAGATTTTGAAACGTTTTTTGATCGAGCGATTAAGACTACGATGCCGCGCGTACTTCCAAAAGTTATCAGTTCCTTTCATCAGCAGCTAATTATTTATCAATATTTCGTCACTGTTCGGGATGTGAGGGGCAACTTGCACTTTCGCCAGTTCCTTTCGGGAATTCTTGTTGAATCACAGGTCACGTTGACGAGATCTGCACACCCTCGTCAAGAGTAAAAGAAGCTTTTGCTACCGGGGAGCAGCTGCAGTGGTCCAAGGGAATCAGAAAAAATGCCCCCACCAGACCGAAGTGCGCCAATATTTCCAATATGAAAACGATAAATTAGTAGATAAGCTTCGCTCAGCTTCGCGGCAGTCTGCACAGACTACAGTCTTGTTCGCTGCTAATGGCGGGGCGTGTGGCTGATTTTGGCACGCAGAACCATTCTCCACCAGTTGTTGGAGTGAGTAAAAAGCAACAACTGGTAGAGAACGATTCTAGATATGCTACAGTCTTGTCGCTTGCAGAAGGAAAAAATAAGAAGAAAAACGGGTCGGCGCCGCGCCAAGCGCGGCTGCGCTGACACGCCCCATCATTCGCAGCGAATAAGGCTGCAGCTGCAAATATTTTCTAATCAGGTGACTAGATGTATTGCAGCCGTTCCAGGTTGAATCAGACTGGTTCTGATGGTGATGCACATTGTGGAACGTTTTGACATCTCTGTCGCCGCCTTCGCCGTGAGCTGGTCCTGACATCCCACAGTCGAGATCACTTGGTTGTGCATTGTCTTGGAAAAAAAAACATATTTTGTATTGAGGTGAGCACGTACAGTACACAACGCTACCGCTACTATTGCCAAGACATCTCGTATTCAGTTACTCCTATAAGTGGAACAAGAGATATCAAGATACGGGCAGGGCGGGGTACGTACTTCATTTGAACACGATGTAGAATGTGCTATTCGTCTGAGATAACCATCATCTTGTATTGTGCTGAATAAAGACATGATTAGGAGTGTTTCAGAACGAAAATATCCCGAAAAACCGCAGCCACCACTACTCTCGGTCAGCGCGGTAGCGAAGTGCGCGGTCACGCCCTCCCCATTTCCGGGATATGAAGTGCAGATGTAGGAAAACTCTATAGGATCTATGTAAGAAGTTTATTGTCACAGGGCTGGTTTTGTTGCGGGAATGGGTATAAGAACGCACATTGTTCTGAGGCTTCGTGGATTGCACCTTGCTGGTCCCTCTCCCTGTATCGAAATAAGGCCGCGTTCATAGCTTGCGACCATGAAGAAATGCAGAAATGCGAAGTGCAGAAATGACGAAAAGCATTACATACGTATCGATTTGAAGAAATGCAGAAATGCCGAAACTGCAGAAGTGCGGAATCTGCAGAAATGACGAAAAGCAACCGATACGTATCGATTTTCCGCACTTTCGGCATTTCTGCATTTCTTCAAATCGATACGTATCTGTTGCTTTCATCATTTTTGCACTTTCCGCACTTCTTCACTTTCGGCATTTCTGCATTTCTTCAATCGATACGTATCTATTGCTTTTGGTCTGCGGACAACTTGAATTTAATCCCTTTCGAATGCGTCGATCATCTCTTTTTCTCTGCACTCTCTCGCAATTGTTGCGTTCTGTGGTCATTGCGACCTTATATTCCAGCTTTTCACACATGGTAAGTGGCTCACCCACCCCGGAGTCCCCTCCCTGGAAAAATCCCGCTTCCTGGCTTTACACACGTTTTTTGCACGTTTTATGCTTCTGGCAGCCGCATGCCCTCACCGTCTGCGGTCCCAGGCTTTCGTAACAGGCACCGTATCAAAAGTCAAGATGTCACGTAACCATTGCTTTCCGTCATTTCTGCAGATTCCGCACGTCTGCAGTTTGCGCATTTCTGCATTTCTTCATGGTCGCAAGTTATGAACGCGGCCTAAGAAAGAATGCCAAACGAAAAGCAGCGGAAGATCCTATCCTGTGCAAAATTGCGACATTGATTGGGTTTCAATCGCCATCACCTTCGGGTCATTTGAAGCCACCCACTATGAGTCAGTCTAGCGGTGGTCTCACGCAAATCACCGGACGCCAAAAGTGAGCCTTTATTGCTTGGCCGACTGCCGTTACCCTCCCTAGATGCCCCACAGGTATACGATGGACTATTCCAAGGTTTTGAAATTGATGTTGAGGATGAATCCACATTGATTTTTGTTTCTTCCACAAGAACTGACGAATTAGAGACTAAGCCACATCTGTTTGGCCGAAGCAATGATTTAACTCCTTGTTCGTGGCTAAATATCCCATTGAAGCCATGGTCTATAGACCGGAGGATTATGAAGGAGGAGCATTGACATGGCATTTTCCATATACTTTCCCATCAGATGCTTCAATTTTGAGATTCATGTCAATGAGGTTCTTCTTTCGCCATGATATTGCAGTCTTGCTGACTAAACAAAGACCGAGCTCTTATGGGATCTGTTTTTCTTCTCATCGTGAGGCACTGAAGCAATGTGGCGCTCGATTACGGTATAAGAGCCCGACGGGCGCTTCTGTTACATGTTGTTCGCTCTGGTACTTCTCGTTGCTCTCAGGTGTGATGGGAAGGTTCATTCGCTTTCAGTTCCGGGGAAACAGCTCATTGTAATCTGATCCGTTCTGATCTCTGCTAATTGCGCCTGTGACGTCAAGCAAAGCTACTTAAGATTGGTACAGATTTTTTTTCAGATGAAACTCAGCATCATCTTATTACTTGTGGCATCGGCGGCCGGGCTGCCGAAAGTGGTAGCGCACGATCTTCAGTTTTACAGTACTTCTAACAAGCTAGTCGAACTCTGAACTTTCGAAGATTGCCTACTTATTTAATCCAGCTTCGAGAAGAGGGGTCATTTTTGCGGTCGCTCAAAGGAAGTTAGTCGTACTTGTCTTGGCAAAAAGTTCGACCCTGAATCTAATTCTTGGTGTCTCCAGTGCCCTAATCTTACAATCAACCCCATTCCGGTGGCGCACGAGACGGTAGTTCTGGAGTAGAAGTGGTGGAATTCTTGGGGAAAAAAAACCCTGGGAAAATTATAGGAAGTCAATTAAATGTAGGAAGATGGCAGGTAGGATGCACCAGAGAGGAAACCTTACCAAAGGAGGAACCCCAGATTCGAGGCCGCGAGTTTTCGTATTTTCTGAAGCTTCCTCCTTCCCCTTCTCCCAACGCGGGACCGTGCCCGGATTCTTCCTCTTGAGAATACTTGCCTAATCCTCAGGGAACTCGGTGAGAAAATGTTCTTTATTCTTAGTGCAGCTCAACGGAGTTGTCAATAGCAGCGCGGGCAGTTAGGAAATGTTTTGGTGCAGTTTCTGTCAAAATCATTCCTAAGTTTCAGAGACGTGCAGCGACCGATGAGACGACTGCTTCAACCCTCCCAGAAAGTGAAGAAGGAACTAACACGTCGGCTCTTCCCGAAACCACTCCGGAAACTGAAGACAAATCTACCGCATCGCCACTTCCTGAAACAACACAAGAACCTGATTCTCCCAAACCAAAGAAATTCATGTGTACTCCTGTCATGTGTGTCCCGTGCATTCCCTTCTGCCCCCAAGTCTTCCCTCCTTTCGTAGTCCCAGGAGTGCCTGTGGTACCAGGTCAACCGGTTGTACCAGGGCTTCCGGTTGTACCGGGACAACCGGTTGTGCCAGGGCTCCCGGTTGTGCCGGGACAACCGGTTGTACCGGGGCAGCCAAATAACCCTGCTCAGCCAAACAACCCTGCTCAGCCTAATAACCCTGCTCAGCCAAATAACCCTGCTCAGCCAAATAACCCTGCTCAGCCTAATAACCCTGCAGCCAAATAACCCGAATCTATGTACCGCGTGCCTAACATCCAGGATACCTCTCCCAATCCTGGATACCAGCGGTACCAGTCATCCAGGTGTCGCTCCAGCCAGCTGTACCAGTCATCCCAGGTATCGCCCAGCCTGCAGTTCCCGTGGTTCCGAACGTCCCAGGAAGTAGTTCAGCCCGCAGTACCTGTAGTACCGAACATGCCAGGAGTAGTTCAGCCCGCAGTACCTGTGCCTATGGTACCTGTTCAACCGGCTTTTCCTGGGGTCGCTGTTCCACCCATTGCAGGAGTTGGACCTGGAATAAGACCACCAGGCATTTGGATTGGTTGGGGTAAAAATGGAGCCGGAGTTGCCTTCGGTTGAACGGAAATCATTCGAATTTCTATGATTGTTACCAACAGAATGTCAATAGGAAATAAATGATTGAGTGAAAAATTACTATTATCATTTATTCATATCGTAGACAGCAGGGTTGGGTGAAATGAAAGGGAAACAGGGCGAGCAGGGCGAAATATTCGAAAACAAGCTGGAACTTCACCGGCGAATCTTATTGAGATGACTCCTGGTACACAAATAGTAGTACTCCCAGAATGAAGGATAAACTCTTTGCCGTTGATGAAGCCCTTTTTGGGATGCCCCAAGCATTCTGCTTCCGCTGGCTAGCTTATTGATGCGACATGGCCTTTACAATGAAGTGCGGAGGCCAGCCGACGTGTAAATCAACTTTCTTATCCTTCCAAACGAATCTGGCAGCAGTTCACACCCCAGAGGGCAAAGGGCTTGGTTGGCCTGGGTGGAAGCCAAGGGATTTGACTCCGTATCGGCTCCTGCCTAGGCCCAGGAATTCCCTCATACTGCTCTTCAAAACAGGGCGCCCACCTCAAGCAGTTCGAGCTTCTGAACATTCGAGTTGTGGTACCGTGTGCAAACTAGCCACAGTTGACTCTGCTACGTTGCCACGATGAATCAGCTGCGTCTCTCCGCTACTGCCGTGCAGTTGAGACCGTCCGCACCGCCTGCTCACCAATTCTGATGTATCGAACTGTACCATGAGCCTTTCTGAGGAAAATGCCATCACCACGGTGGCTTTGGGGTACCACATTCTTGTTTTCAACCTTTAAGCACCCAGTCTGGGCAATAGCTGCAATGAGTAAGGAAAAGATAAAAGGATAAAGTCTTCGCCGTTGATCAATCCCTTTGTGGGATGCGGCACGCATTCTACTTCCATTCAGAATCGTAATGCGATGTGGCCTATACAATGACTTGCGGTGGCCAGCCGATGTACAAGTCAGTGTTTTATCCTCCCAGACGAATCTGGTACCAATTTACCGTCCCCGGAGGGTAGAAGGCTTGGTTGGCCTGGGCGGGAGTCGACCCAGGATTTTAACCTAGGACCGCGCGAGTGGTGAGCGTACCACTTTGTCACTATCCCACTTCAGCCTTCCTGGTGAAAAAGCAGTTAGTATTTGATATTTCTGTCGTGCAGCACGAGGGTGCTAACTTTTTAGAGCCCTAGGTGAATAGGGCTAATACGGACTCGAGGGCTAAAATAGAAAGATAAAGAATGCGAGGAAGCTGAAGGAGTCAGGCATGGCGGTAGCAATTCAGTAGGGCAAGAAAATAAGTGCGAAGAAATAAGATTGGGCAAGAAGTCTCTCAGACGAAAGTACAGTGGAAGGAGATAGAGATTGCGTGGTAGTAAATAGAGACAGAAGGCCTACATTGTGGTCCAACTGAGAGCAGGAAGGAGAGGCGAAGTGTCGGAGCAGGGATGAGATGTCTAGCAATAATCACCTACTCTCCTGGGTGGTTGACGAGCTGTCCATCAGTGACCACGCATAACTGGAGCATGGGTTAATGTAACGAGACAGATACGTATGGGAGAACAAGAGCTGAAACCACTCGAACTACAAACCTATTATTTGAGCGCTACTATTGATTAGCCTAAACTCAAAGCCAAACAGTAACAATTCAACTAAACAAGTAGATCTGATGGTATTAAACATGGGCGGCAGATCTTTTTAGAGCCGAGTTAGTAACTTGATAGACAACTTTTGAGAGGCCTCGTCTTACAGAACGTAAGGGATAATCCGCGAAAGTAAATGAAATACGTGACAATAAAATAGTGGTATGAGATTTATGGTAGAGCTCGGCTCTGTGGGGGCACCAAATAGCCCTCAGCGCAACTTTCACAGACCAGTCGTGGAGACTTGTAAATTCCCGCAACTAAAGCGGCTTACTTGCACTACTTTGCAGCCTTATGAAAGAGGAGCTGTTAGTGAAAATGGGATAGCAAAAGGAACTGACGAAAGTGCAAAACATCTCCACCATCTCCCCCTCTCCCTGATCCGAGCAACACCGATTTTTTTATACGACAATCATCTTGCTGTTCAAATAAAGTCATACCTCTTGTGAGATACGTTTCCCTCTGCACAAGCATCTGGAGCACACACACGCGACTACGATATAAGAGCGTGACGGCTCACGAAGAGTCTATCTCACATGGCTCGCTTCGTTTTCTTTTTCAGTTGCCTTCAAAATTGCTACGAGAATCTCTTAAGTCCTTAGAGCATGGTATCGAACTCTTCAAATGTAGTCAAATCCTTTCCGGCCGTGAAAGTAAGAGTAACACAGGGCAAAGTCAATTGATATGCGATTTTTTGCGTGTTTGCACCGAACGACTTCCACATTCTGGAGGATATGTCTGGATGGATCTTGCGTCTGCCCCTGCTTGGGCCCGCATGAAAAAAATGAGGGATTTCTATTGAAATTTTGTAAATCTCTTCATATGAAATACCAGCTTTGAATCTCTGGAAACCCCTGACTTCCTCTCAGCACATCAACGCATCAATCTCAAAAAGAGAAGATGCCCTACTGGCAATGTAGGCACTATGGAAAGCGGTAGCACATCAGA